TCGCAGGGGATCAACAAGTCAATTTATTCTAAACCCTTAAACCCTAAAACGGGGTTTATATGTCACACCATTTCTAATTGGGAATCCCGAGCTCATACTTATTAAAAAAGCGGCGGACTTGATTTGGATTTTCTGGTCAGATCGCGTCTCTGTTCCTATATGAGCAAGGCCCAAGGCCTAATTCATGGGTGGTGCGAACAGACCTCGATGCCTCGTGCAATTCGTGGGCGTTGAGATATGAGTTATGCGAATGACCATCCCAGGGCTGCCTTGTAATTATCATCCAACCTATCTACTCTCCTGCTTTGCCGAGTGTCGTCTAGAAGTGGCACGCTTCGGTACTCCACCTATTCACAACTTTGGCTCAAGAAACTGCCAATAGCCATTAATTAGCTTACAGTACAACTTGTTGGCTACCGATCCATATAGTCTGAGCAATTCCCCTGCACAGATCTCTAACGGTGCGCGCACAGAGAAAAAGAAGCGTCCGTTGCATGCCTACGAGGGAGGAATGGTTATCTATGAACCTTTCATCTACTACATCTACCCCCAACATCAAAGAGCTCGACGAGAGAAGTGACATAGATCAATACAGGTCAAGAACAGGTCCTCATACAATTTTAATGCTATTTTCATCCTTCGACAAGTCAGTTTGTTTCCTCAATAGAAATATCACATGAAAATCATATCTTCAATCGTACTTGTCGTATTTTCTTTGACATAGTTCTGTTTATGCGAATATCGAAAAATATAGCAAAATTATTGATACTCTTCATTTTATAACATGTATTATTCTTGTTTTTAAATACTTATATCAGAGTAATGAACATCAATAAGATAAATAAAAAATATAAATAAATAAATATAAATATAAATAAATAAATATATATATATATATATTTGCTTATTTATTTTTAAACATGCTCATGAATTTCGCGATATTTTAGAATATTACTATTCATTTGCAGTTTAATTGTATTATATATTCATTCTATCTCGTATCGATTAATTAAATAAAAAAATAACGATCAACTAACTCAGTTATAAGAATTTAATTTACAAGAACTTAATGTAGCAATAACGTGAATAAATATTTCAATTACGTAATTTTTACAATATTCAATAGATTCAATAGCTTTGCCATAAATTGTTTTTTTTCATGCCCGTGTCTATGTGGCATGACAATGTTCCATCCAGGCCTCCCTGGCGGAACTGGGCGTTGCAGCCGTTGCTATTCAGAACAAACAAAGACAGCCTGAAGCTGAATGCGCAAGCCAAATCACTGCTCGTCGTCGCACTCTGCACAGTGGCTACGCTCTGCTTGGCTTGGCTGGCGGGACTGCCTCGGCCACTTGCGTTCACCGCTCCAGGTCGGCAATCTTCTTCAAGGCTGCCAGGAGGTCCTGCACGCAGCTGGCCTCAGCACAGGCCTGCTCCACCTTGGCTGGCGTGACCTTGCTTTTGTCGGCGAGCTCACATGCTTCCTGGGCCTGAGCCTCAGTGAGCTCCTGCCCCATGAGGCGTGACACGAGCTGGCACAAGCATGCGCCCTTCATGAAGCCCAGCTCAATGGCAAAGTTGATGCGGCCGGGCCGAATAAGGGCCGGATCGAGTTTCTCCGGGTGGTTCGTGGTCATGATCAAGATGCGGCCAGGAGAGTCCTGAGCTTTCCGAAGCCTGCACCATGCTTACTAGTCAACATGCAAGGAGCGAATCACGGAATAGACAGCTCTAGTAGTTCGTGCAAGCTAGCTTTCAGTTATTGTTGACCGGTCGTAAGACACTGAACAGTGCAGAGCTTTCATAAGATTTTGCATTCCAGCTGATGGAAGATGCAAGACTGTTGTAGCGCTTATTGAAAAGAGTTCGAGATTGATCACGAAACCTTGCATGTCGATAGTCGCAAAAAGTTTGCACTGGCCGAAGGCAGCTGCACATTGGCCCTTCAAAGATATTCAACCGTGTATGGGCTTGCTTGACAGCAGAAGGTGCCATTTCGTCTTTGGTGTAAATCAAGAAATGGTGGACTGTAAGATCCCATGTGCGTCTCGTTATGTGCAACAGCGATAAACAAGATCCACAACAACACTAAAAACAAAACACGACGGTGCATCTACTTAGATGCTTATTAAGGTAAGACGGACGACATCCAAGCCAACAGACTCGAGACAGCGCAAAGTGACACGGCGCAATCATCACATCCACAGGAAGGAAATGAATCCGCGAAACGACCGCCAGTGAGCACATGATGCCCGCGAGCCACAAAACCATATCTGCAAGGGCGGCCGACGTGAGATCATACGACCTGTTTGATATGTGTAGAGACACATGGAAACGTATTTACTTGACCATATCAATATGCCACCTCTCTCGATATATATATATGTATGTATGTATATCTATCTATCTATCTATCTATCTATCTGTCGATCGCCCTCTACCATGGCTCTAAGTAATGCCGAGCGATGTAATGTAAGGATGCGTCATCATTTTCCATCGCGTGGTTGGCAGTGTGGAAGAACCTTGCCTCATGGCGCCTCCCGGCTGTGACTGTGAGCAGTCTCCGAGTTTGTTACTGTTGGTTTCGTAGCGTTAGTGTGGACTTAGGCGGGCCAAAAACGTGCAGCCGCGAAGCCACAACCCCATCCAGGACATTCAGTACACCAGAGAGATTCAGCTCGTCGGCATCTCGGCTGAAACGGGATGAGAAACTCTTGGGTTCATCCTGCCCGGAGCTAACACCCAAGCGGCCGATGGCTTCAGCAAGATGTTCCACGGAATTGCTGGACCTGCGCTCGGTTCTTTCCTCATCGTCCGGCTCCTCATCCTCTTCATCCTCGTCGTCCATTTCGTCCTGTGGCGGGACCGGCAGTGCGGCAGGCTCTTTGCGACTTTCGGCCTCTGGCCCAATCGTGATCGTCCGGACAAGGCTCAGTGTGTGAGATTGGGCGCGGCTCAGCTGGGGGGGCCCTCGCTTTGCCATCTCGGCAAGTAGCTGTTCGCCCTTGCTCACTGATGTGTCTGCACTGGCCCCTTTGCCTTTCCCATAGTGGCTCCCGGGCAGCGCACCCTCGTCTAACATCTCTTGGCCTTTGCACACTTCTGAGGCTGAGCCTTTGCTGCCCTTGTCCTTGCCGTCTCGCATCTTCCCTTTGCCCTTGGCCTTCTTCTTGTGCTCCTTTGCCGGCGATCTGCGGTACACGACCTTTGAGGCAGCATCTACGTCTTCCATTACGAAGACAATGTTGTCGAACCTCATGCGCACAGCCTCATCGTCGCCGGGAACAGCAAAAACTAGGTCGAACATCCTGTCAAACAGCTCCTGGTTGGTCTTGACTTTCGTCAGCGGTACATCCACAATGTGCCTCCCTGTGAACTGCGCGATGCTCTTGATAAGGCTGGTCTTACCTGTGCCCGGAGGTCCATGCAGCAGCAAACCTAGCTTGTTGGGAAAACCCGGAATCGCAAACTTGCCTTGCATCTTGAGGAAATCGTCGAGCATGGACAGGACCTGCGCCTTCTCGGGGAAGTAAAGACAGTCGAACGTCTTGTGATCCGAGAGGAGGTACTTCTTGTAGGTGCCATGCTGGGGCGATGCCTTGCCGAATCCTTTGCCCATCCCATCTGAATCCTGCTTCTGCAGCTGCGGCATGAAGAAATAGCGGGATCGATCTATGGACTTCGCTTTTTGATGCTTATACGACTCCAGAGCCTCTTCGATGAAGCTGTCGACGTTCTTCTCAGCATTGGGCCCTGAAGATCGGAGGCAAAAGGTGGTGGTCGTCTTCCCGGCTGCGGGTGCACCTTTGCCTTTGCCCTTGGACTCGTCCGGGGTCTCAGGAGCAATGCATGTCGTGTGGTACATGAACTCGATCTTCCTTTTGGCATCGACGAGTAAGTAGTCGCGCTCTCTGGGGCCCTTGGTCACGCCTAAGCTGCTAAGACACGGGGGTAAAAAAAAGCTCACGAGGAGGTGTATACGTGCAACAGCAACAACAAACAGCAAAGTCTGCTCGCTGCACAAGCTCGAGGCCGTAGCCCATGAGCTTCTTCACTGAAGCATCCATTTCCCCGACGAATTTAACCTCTTGCTTAAAATTTCCGTAACGGTCGAAGCTGGGCCCGCTGTCCACCGTAGCACTATTATCCAGCAAGTAGATCTCGGCATCCTGACGAAACTACATCGCTTCCGATCTATGTGCAATGGTCACAACATGTCACAACCACTCCTTGATGTGAAGCACATCTTTGTCTTTGTTGATGTACAATCGGATCGCCTTCTGCAAAATGTTGTTGCGCTCTGTGGACGTTTCTTCAGAGCCAAGAATATCTCGAGGACCATGATAGTGCTGGACGTGCATGTTGTCTCCCTGCGTAAAAACGATGCGTCTCGTGTAATGCTCCTGACCAGCTGCAAGATATCTTCTCAGAAGCTCCCCGAAGGCTTCGATAAGCCGCGGGACCTGCACAACTTCGCTTGGGCACATGAGGAGAAAAAGCAGCTACCAGTAAGTTGAACTAAGTTGGATTTGTCATGATTGCGGAAGTTACGTACTGCTATCGTCCTGCTTGTGATGACAAGAGTGCTCTTCGAGATGCTAACCAACCCTCCACTACGTTCCACGGCTGCAAAAACTGCAAAGGCCTCCTTCAAGAGAAAGGGGACCAAGGCACACAGCAGGATGCTGACCAGTGGGCTGTCTCCCGCGAGGCGGCCCAAGGAATTCATCAGCCCGAATTGCAAGCCGAGATTGTCCATGGCGCCCACAGGATGCTGCCAATGCTGCAGTGACAACCTCGCTAAGCCAACCATCTGACCCCTCTGCGAAGTTTTTCTTTCTCTCTGCACGTTTGAGTAAGTATCTTTCCCTGTTGTCAGTGTCAGCTCTCAGTCTCGAGCTTGCCAGGATCTGCAAGAGCAAGCACACCAGGAGCTTTCTTTGTTTAGGTGTTCACCCAACACAGATCCTGTGGCCACACCCGCATGAACAAGGGATAGCAGATGGCAAATGGCCCTGTACTCGATTCCTGCCATCCATGTAGGTGAATGCGGTGCCGCGTTAAAGAGAAAAAGTCGACGAAAACAGTTAAATAACCTTTAGAACTGTTTGATAGACGAGGCTAGAGGGGTTGAGCACATAATCCATTTGTCGCTGAGTTCTCTAGCGCTAGCAACCTGGCAATGGAAGATATGTGGTCAAGTGATGCACCCCAACAACTTTTTTGAATTCCGAGAAAATCCACTGCATGCAAACCTGAGTCCTTCAATTCTTCCAGCTCTCAGTGAGAATGCTGTACGGAAGAAGCGTTGACAATCGCGTCATCAAGCAAGCTCTTTTCTCACCGCTCAGCACTGATTGATGTCGGGTCGGGTTCCCAGAACCATCGTGCCTATGCCAGCAGCTCACCATACAGGCCGGACCTGGAGAGATGTGTGGACTGCAACAAGGAAAGCTGCGGCTGTGAACGGTCTGGGATTCTCAGAGTAGCGCTCCACCAGATGGGTCACAGCTGGGTGGATGCCAACATAGCAAGGCGTTCTCCACCTCCGTTGGCTGCACATCAAAGTAGAGTGTGGTGGGAAAGCAGGAACACTTAGACCCCCAACAGAATCGTGGAATGCTGATTACAGGACGTGCCCCACAGCTTTTCATGAAGTCTACTGCACTGTACATTGATTGGAAACTGGGAGCCATCACCTGCCCGCGATTGCGTGCATGGGAATGCATGGGATATCCGATACGCCTTCTTCATCTCCAAGTTCACCTGCTTTCCTTGTTCACGAAGGATGCAAACAGTTCTTCGGGCAGCCTTGAAACGTTGGTGTGCAGACGATGTAGGACCTCGGGAGCACTGGTGCGAAGTTGAGATTCTCACGATCCTAGCAAAATCAGCCTTGCAAGCCGAATTCTCCACATGGCTGGCTCGTTGCAACATGGACGACTCTCGAAAGTGGGTGCTTGCAAAATCTGTGTCCATGGAAATGGCCGTCTCTGCATCCAATCTGCCTTCCACTTGGCCATCTCCAAGCGTTGTACATCAGGCTCCTGCAAACATGTTGGCTATGTCCCGCTGCTTACAAGAAACCGAAGCATTCGACGCAGGGCCTTCTCCCCAACCCGACGAGCTGTTGCGTTGAAGAGTTGCAGTAGATGAACCTGGCCCGTCTGCTGACGCAATTGCCCCTGCTTTGGGTATCTCTCGGCTCATGTTTCTCAAGCATGTTTGAGCTGGAAACCTGCTTCCGTCTGTTGATCCAACTACTGATAACGGCATCGAGGCGAACTACTGTTGAAGTTATTGACCGCGGTCGGACCGTTTCTCAGGCCATGTGCCAGTCCGCTCCTGCCGGAAACTCGCCTACGTGGCATGAAACAGGCACCTGACAACGGCTTCGGCACGAACGGACTTCTTCTATTGTGATACATACCGCGTGCCGCATGTATGTCCACTCCGCTGGTTGTCACAGCCACACCATGCCCTGTGGAAGTTCAACTCCTGCTTTGGCATGTCTTGTGCCGACGGCAGGCCAAAAAGACTTTGTTGGTGATGCCGCGACGCCTGACCCTTCTTCGTGTCATTAAGAAACTTCGAAAAAACGCCGCCAGGGCCAGGCCCGGCCAGGCCTGCTTGTCGCCTTTCGAGAGCCCCTTGGATGCAGGGCAGCAGAACTGCCCTCCAGATTCCTATCCACGTCAGAGCGGCCTTCTCCGTTCTGGCAAGCGCTCAACAGCATCCAGCCCCAATTGGGATTGAAGGCTGTATTCCACAACACGACGTGCGAGTTGCTGCACGGGGGACTCCGGATGAGTTCTGAGTTCGCGACTATGGAGATGGCAGGCGTAAAATGAAGAAGGAGCACCTGAGAAGCCAACTAAAGAGAAGCGGCTCTTGTGTGAAACAATAATCAAACAGCGATGATGAAGAAACGGCCTGGTGTCGCTGCTTCATCAGAGATCCTGCCCAACCTGCAGATGTAAATCACGGCCAACTCCTGACTCACGCCACCGGTCCAGCCTGCCAAAGTTGCGTACTCCACATCGGTTCCCAACACAATGTAGGATACCTGAAGCTGCAGGCAAACGTGAAATGCTGCCTGATTTGCGATCCGATACCAAGCGAGTCACACTGGCAGCTGTCAGCATGGCGCTGTCCGGCAACTGCGGCTCCAAAATGGAATGGCCAAGGAAGGCATCCAAACCTCAACAACATGATCGTGGCATTGCATGTGTTGGGTGGTGCAGATGGGTCACCGTCATACCATGTCCTACAGCCCGACATGCACGGGCATGCACAGCTGCAGAACCTGAAGCTGAAGCTTTGATTCTTTGATATGGAAATGCCATGTGCTAGATAGCATGACATGCTTGACCATCGCCAAGGCCGTGGTTTTCGGTTGAAGAAAAGCAGCAAAAAGCGTTATGAAGCAAGCTTGCCGATCAGTGAATGGATGAAGAAAATCAGGAACGGACGTGGCGCTGACATGCAAAACAGCTTCCGGAAAGTAGTCTTGTAAACATGTAACATGAAGTTTTTCCTCGCCACACATTGCGACCTCAGGCAGCCCTGACAACTGACAATGAGTGAAACCCTTGTTGTCAAAAGGTCGCTCCCTGCAGGTTGGCGAAACATCTGCGAACATAATTACGCCGCCTATGATTGAATACTGAAGCCGCCAATATTCGCACAATGGCTGCCGAATTCAGATTGACGATGGGTCGTGGCTCACCGATGCATGCATACTAACAGTTTCCTGCCAGGCTTGAAGTTGATCCAACGCTCGTAGCGCTTCGTGATATCGGCATCCAAACAAAGTCACTAAATTCGAAATGTGTGTGGGCTCGTATATTTCCCGCTGTTCGAGTTCGACCACGTAGCATTCGAAAGCAGTGAGGGGAGGAGCTCTGCGTAGACAGCACACTTGGCGACCGGCAACCCAAGATCACCGGCCTGGCTTTTGCCGTTTCCGAGGATTTGATTTATTGTTAGCACCCATCCCTGTCGTTGGAGACGTTATTCAGTCGGACTCGGTAAGGGAACGGAGGGCCATCGTCTTGATCACATTGCTGATCTCCTTCGCCACACGCCAATTCGGTTCTTTGCTTTTTCTTGCAGCCTCTTGCTGATCCAGGCCTGCGCCTTGCGGAATCTCGACGTGAGGGTCTTCCAATCCTTGCCCTCCATCTCGATGTCATACATGTGGCCAATGGGGTCTTGAGACTCCGGACCGAGCGCTTGGATGACCATCCACATCCTATTCTACTTGGTAGCTGGGATCTCCTCGGTCTCATCGCCAGGGTCCTCGACAGGGATCTTGGTGTTGGTGCGGCGATCATAGGCAAAAGGATTTCCTCAAGCATAGCGGGGTGGTAGTTGGTGCCCTCCAGGTAGAGTTCATGTAGGTACCGGGCACCCGGCAGTGGGACCAGCTTTCCATGAAGATTGGTGCAGGAGGCACTGATGTACCTGTCTTAGCTGTGGTGGAACTAGTGACCCCATGCCTTCATCACACCTGGGCGATCATGGGGTTTTTGGGAGCTTTGTCCGAGGCATCCCTTTGGCCCCCTCAGGCATCGTGCAGGGTTCTCGTCGTTGACGAAATCGTCGCGAATCACTCGGACATTCCCGACAGGTCGCACAAAGGTCACTGTTTCACCGGTGAGCTGGTGCAGCGGAATAGGCATTGTCTGCCTTTTTGTTGTTGACGGGAAAGACAACGGTACACGGGGCTTCGTGCGAACACCATGTCACCGGCAACTTGTGAACAAACGGTCCACTCGACACGGCTGTCAACTCTTCGGTCTTGCTCCGAGGCCGCTCCTGGTTGAGCTTGACCACTGACCACCAAACTCATCCGGACTGGGTTCGCCCATGCGCCCTTGCCAGCGCTCTTGCGGCCACGCCGCAGCATCACCAGCTGGGCTCGCTCGTACTTGGTGCGAAGCGGCCTCTCGCTGCTTGATGAGCTTCTCAGAGGCCTTGCCCGGGTCGATGCCAATGGGGATCTCCTCGGCGAGGGCTCCTCGCCTCCACTAGTAAGGGGCGAAGCCAGTTATGAGCATGGAGCAGAAATGGCCAGAAGGGATTTGGATGGAGGGTGGGTGGATGGAGGGAAATGGCCTGGAGAAGGGGAGGGGGCTGGATGGAGGGCAGCTGGGTGGAGGGACCATGGGTGGATGGAGTGGAAATGCGACTCGGTTCGCGCAGTTCGATGTCGCGTGTCGGTTCAGCGTTTTGCGGTTTTTGCGTTCACAGGGACTGTTCCTGGCGGTTCGGTTCCGGTTTGCGGCCTTCCTGAAAGGAGCAGTGCGCCACCTGGCCTGGAGGACTATTCACTATTCTTGAAGTTGCCGGATGTGCATAGGGACAGCCCTCTTCAGACATTGCCCGAGACAGTTTCTCGCGGCTTCAGAAATGGTCGAGGATTGCAGAAGCGGGCCCAGGGGAACATCCCACAACTTTTCGTTCGCGAGGAAGAGTTTCTTCACGGAACTTCAAGATCTTCAAGCTTCTCCCCGACGGGCCTGCAGAACAAGGTCTGGTGTTGTATCTTAGCCCGAAGCAGCAATCGCCCAGGAGGTAATCTTTATTACACTTCTCGAGCGACTGCTGAGTAGTAACCTTGAGTTCTAACCGGCCGGGGTGATGTAGCCCTATCATGAGAGGAGCATTCGGCATCACGGTTAGCCTTTGCCTGAGCTGCTCCGGATTAACTGGCAAAGCCCCTTTGGAGGTAGCTTTCTTGAGGACAACCGTTCCTTTGCTATCCCACAGTGGCACGAATGTCTCCGGGTGATAGCACCTCGCTCAGTGGCTCAGCACGGAACTCGCCGGTTTCTAGCTGATGGAGCTTGCGCGCTCGATGTACTCTTTGGCCGGCACGTGCTTATCCTCAGGTAAACTTGCTGGCAAATGCCTGTCGCATAGCCATAGAGGCTGTTTGCGGGATGCATTTAACCGTTTAGCCCATTCCCTTAGCTCGCTGGCGGCTTCCAGCTCGGCCTGGTCCTTTGTTCTAGCCTGTGCAGCTTGCCAAGCCAAGACGAAGCTAGCTGCTAGAGCACGAAGCCCTTGAAGCCTTTGATGTTATCCGCCCCTTCCAGGCACCTTTAGCCCGATGGCCCCGGCCTTGGGCCCGCATGCAATTATCACATGTGTGGCCATGCTCTCCATGTGTAGGGAGGTCGAGGATCTTGTCGTCCATGCCGATACCCAGCTCCCGAAAGGGCATAGCCTTTTAGCCTGGGGTGCTCATCATTATCCACGGGGTAGCTCTTGAGTGGCCACTGATCGCGTGGCACGTGTAGCCAGGTCTGATCGACCATGCCACCGCTCGGGCCAAGGGCTGCTCTTAGATTGGCTAGCCACAGGAGGTGGAGCTAGCACACGATGGCAAATACTCGGTTGTTCATCAGCTTGGCAGTTGTAAAACCCAGGCTTGCCTCGATAGCCCTATGCTGCAGGGCTCGCCTCTCCGGCGCTAGCCGCCCATCCGCCCGCGCCCACTGCTGCTCCTTGCAGTATCCTGCTCCTAGCCGGTGGTATCCGGTGGTCGACCGGATGGTCCGCCTCCGGCGTGACGTAGCTGCCTTTGGATGCAGATCCTCGCCCGCTCTTGGGCGCCGGTTGGGGCCGGCTATCCCGTCTCGATAGCTCGGTGGAAAAGGGACATAGCCTTCTCGGCTATCTGGGGCCGCAAAGCCCGTCTGCTGACTGCTCGCCTGTGCTGCTGCCGACCTGCCGCTGCATCTCCTGGCTTCCTGCCGCTTCTAGCAGTGTGGCATACACCATGCATGCGTTCCAGGTAGCTCGTTAGCTCTGCCGGCGGGCCGGCGTCCACCTACATCTCTTGCTCGCGTAGCCAGCTGCTTGCCTGTGGGCCCTATCCGGCTTCTCGCCTTATCCAACGACAACAACATGTGCACATGCCGCCCTATCCTGCGGTGACCCAGCGGAAACGGAGTCCTAGCCCAAACGCCCTAGCAAACAACAGCAGGCCCCCTAGCACAAGAAAGCAAATGCAGCAACGTGATTCTCTCCTCTTCCCTCTCTCTCGTCCATCTCACCCCGCCCCACCCCAGGAGGAGTATCGGAGAAATTGGACCATCAAGCTAGCCGCCGTAACTCCTCTTTTAGCCTGGCTGGTTTCCTTGCTGTGCCACGGCCCATAGCCCGGGTCCCGGAAATAACCCTGGCACCTGGCCGAAACTCCCCCGAGCGATGTCGTTGCTAGCCCATGGCCGGGCTGGGCCCTGGGGCTGCCGGTTCTTCCCCAGTGCCGGGTAATTTGAGGCCAGATTGCTTTCATTCCGAATTAGAGGTCTGCCAGGCTTGAGCACAGTCCTCTCGTTAGCGATGTGGCAAATGGACACTACTTATGAGTGTACGACATGCAGCAGATTTCAAGGTAACACAGATTCCACAATTTAAGGGGATGACTTTGTCAACGTTGTAAGTTGTCCTTCCTGAACATCACGGTGGGCTTCCAAAATCTGCCAAGGGGGAGTCCAGTCTTTCTGAACCCCTAATTCTTGAAGTCCAAAGAAATCCAATCCATCAAGGCCTAGCTCGGACCAGGCAAGCTCAATATAGATTCGAGCAGCTGCACTCACTCAGCGGATGATTTTCTCAGAGCTGTCTTGCTCGGTAAGCGTCTTCGGTCTGCTGCCGTAAAAAAGCTGAAGAGGCCAGGAAAAGTAGATGCCCTGGACTTCCTCCAAAGCCAAAGCTGTCAAAGTCTCCCAAGCCACTTCCCAAAAGGACGTGTTCGCAAGGGCTGGGAGGGAGGGTCGATGTGGTAGGCGGCAGTCAGAGCGAAGGCTAGGGCCTGGCAAAATTGCTTAGGGTACGTGTGAGAGACCTGCGACCAAGGAACATGCCCAGGGCCGAGTCCTGAAACAGCAAAGTGTGTACCTCCAGAGCGACTGCAATTGCCGGAGCGACCATGACAAAGACGACGAAGGCGTTGAAGGTCTTGGGAGTCGACGTTGCCTGCCAACAGGGTAGTAGGTCGTTTCCAACGCGTGCCCCACTGACACATATCCGTGTGGACGATAGAAGTGTGTGGTGCCGTCAGTAAGGCCTGCACCGGAGGCAAAAGCCAGCACTTCGAAGACCTTGGGTGCTCAAGGATCCAAGGCAAGCTAAGCTCATCAAGCCAGCGAAGAACCTGGATGACGCACTCGAAGATTTTGTTGCCTT